ACTGAGCTCTCAGGGTTAGCAGGGAGACACAGCAACAGAGCTGTACTTCCTGCTGTTCTACAAGAAACACTCCAGGATTAGGCAAACATTCGTTCCTAATAATAATGAATCTTAATCCTAGAATTCCTACTACTGCAAGACTCAGAACAGCTTCCAGTCTCACTGGGGGAGGGTGGAAGAAGATCTCCTGTCGCAGTACGAGAAACACAAGAGTAAACCTCCCAGATGATGTTGGAATAGTCTCATTATAACATTCTAATTATAATGTGTTTTTACAGCAAATGTTTTTGATAAATGTTAATGCTTTGGGAACACTGTAATTCTTGAGTCATGCCAATAAAGCTCTGAATTCAAATTTCAACTATAAGCACTAAAATGCATCTAGGAATACATCAGGAGAAAAAAGGGGCAAACAATTTAGATTGACCAAATCAAGCTCCACATTTAAATCCAACTGAGAATGCATTTTAGGCCTGCATGCTTAAGAAAGCAATAGTCAGAACGCCCCAAGAACTGCCAAGAACTCAAAGGGGCCGTGGCCAAGCCTCACAAGTGTTTACACAGAGTTTGCAGAGCTCCATGGGTCAATCATAATACCTCTTTATTTTTACCTCAAAGGCACATATAACCAAATATAGACTTTTCCACTTGAAGGTTACCCAAGTGAAAGGGTCCCAATACTTATGATCAACCGATTTTATTTAAATATGAATTAACTGTGTTTGAAATGACCAAGAAAAATTAAGTTTATCATTCAATTATTCAATTATCATTCACACCACAATTATTCTATGGTCATATAAACAGAATGGTGCTGTATGGACTGAGGCGACAAGCTAAACAAATGTTTGATCACTATTTACAACTGGTTATAGTGTTTTTAGTTAAAAAATAAATATGCTTTGTACTTTTTTCAGGTCACCCAAGGTGATGAGGAGAAATATTTAAGTATTTTTGTTTCCTAGACACCTTTTTTCCTTCGTAGAAACTAATGCACATGTAGCCAGAAGTACATTTTACATTTTTAATACAACACATAGTTACTCCCTAGCTCTCTCTGTCCCTGGGTACCGCTTGGTGTATATGCTAACAAAACACCTTTCACAGTAAGATGAGAAATCAAGAAATTAATTCATCTTTCTTCTTCCACTCATTAGACTTATTTTTAAATGTACTGACACCCGGAGAAAACCCTTGTGAACAAGGGGAGACCACACAAACTCCATGCAGATAGGACCAAGGAACTGAACCCAAGGCCCCCAGCACTGCAACGTAGACACGCTGACCACTGTGCCACCTTAATCTACAATCTACAAAAATAAGAATATCCTTCAGCACTCATGGACCAGTGTTCTCTTCAATTACACAGCATTTGCTTAATTGATCATTTGCTGCGTGACCCTTAAGTATAACATTAACTGCGCTCTCTGGCACCAGGGCTGTAGACCCTAACCTAGCCTAATTCTGTCTGGAGAAATGGTCACAAAATCCCTCAATCCTGTAGTGCCAGATTCACACAGATTCACAGGAGTTTGAACAGAAGTGACCCTTGGATTTTCTGGATATACATTTGGGACGAATATCTGTACAATGCCACTAAGATTAGGCTACTGTTGGCTTTTTATTTTTCAGTAGTACAAATGAACCAATCCACCTCTGGGGCTGGCTCAAACACAGGTGCTTGAATCACTCATCTTAAAACAGTCTTGTTCATCTGACACTGTTGCTTTAAAGAACTTCTTAGACTCAAACTACAAAATGTTTACATTTTGCATTATTTCCCCTTTAAAAAGCAGCACAATGTTCTCTTTCTCTCTTTTTCTTAGCTAATTTTAATCAGTCACTAAATCTTTGCATTTAACATAACGACACATTATGCACATAGTTGCAATTGTTTGTTAAAAATATTTTGGACATTTATGTTAAAATAACAGTAAAATAATCTCACTGGTAACGTTGATGAAAGATTACTTTTGCCTTATAAATGAATTGTTTATACTAGAGAAGAAAAAGTATTCTTAAACCATTTCTATCACTTTTCCTGAGGTGACAAATGCATTTTAATACTTTGGCATGAACCCATAGCAAAAAAAGAGGTCAAAGGTGCAATGCCACATCTCACTTGAAGAGCAGCAACAGATCTTGAATTTAGTATCGTTGAAAGGTTTCTGGTTTGGAGGAATATCACATTATGGTAAATAGAAAAATACATTGATAACCCATCCTATGTGGTTCTGTGTGCAGTTTGTCAGTCAGGGATGTCATTGCTGCAAAGAAATATTCAAACCTGCCATAATCCTCACATTACAGGTAATCGTCAGGTCAGTTCAGGTCATATCAATTCAAATTTTCACAATATGCAAAACCGCGATGCAAGTACGGAGACCCATGTTACTAGCTAAGGGTACCACCAATACTGAGATACCACAACGAAGTAAGCTACAGGCTAATTTGCTTTTAAGCATGCCCTTCTCTGCCCAATCTATTATTTTATAAACAGAATATTGCGACTTTTTTAATATATTTAATTGCTGGATTTATGTATTATAGCTGGTTATCCACCATTCACTTGACCAGCTGTGCATCGTGTCCTGAGCAAGCTATTTGTGGAATTCGAATGTAGAAAGTCACGCACTAAATTATTCACCTCCTACAAAGCACTTCAGCTTTTATGAAAAATGGAGCAAATAATGCAGTAGTCAACCTACAAAGCTCACACCACCTTGGAAAAAAAATGAATTTGGGGACAGGAGTTGTCAGCTTATCTCAAACAGCTAATACTCACCAAATGTGCAACCAAAACAAAGAGTTGCCTATTTCATACGAATGATTCAGTTCCCAAGCTGACTTCCATTCTCCTCATCTTCACTATCCCTGTGTTTCACCAGCACTCCAGTCTCTCTTACCCAGTTTCTCCTTTATACTGCCACTTTCTCTTTGCCCATGGGACTGCCAATCACTGCCCTCCCTCTTTACAGCTCTCAATAACTTGGAACTTGTGGTTCTATTCCTGCTTAACAAGTGTCACATGCTTTGGCTTTCATTATATATATATATTTTAGTTTACTAGACTTTTGACTGTTAAATAGATTGTTCTATTGTTTCGCTACTGTCTTCGTGACTTTCTTAGCCATCTGCAATAATTTTGTACTTAAAGTATGTACTATTTTTAGACTATTTTGTATAGCTTGTATTATTATAAGCAGCTTTGGGTAAAGGCATCAGCCAAATACATTATTAATATAACAATGAGATATATATATCTAAAAGGAGAGTTCCATGTTGCATGCAGTCCAAACAAACAAAAGTAGGTTCTCTTTCACCACAGTGGCAAAACTTACACATTAATACAACAGACCTGACATATCTAGACCATGTATCAATCATTCTGGCTCAACAGAGGAGACAGTCTTGAGATTAATTTGAATAGAAGATTAAAACTGGAGGCCTTGTCCCCCTTTCGCTTAATATCTTAACATACTCAACTGTACATTAGTGCAGACATAAAATGCATGAATCTTTCATGTTCTTTAAATGTGACCTACCACCACAACAATGCTGTCTTTCGTCACGGTATTAAGTGACATTTAAGTAAAACAAAAGGCATAAAACAATAAAACATGACAAGGGAATACTAACATTTATAACTCATGTTTAAAATAGACGTACGGGAAATGATCCTTACAGAAATGACTGGACATAAATTTTAGACGTGGTTTAGAAAACGCTTAAAAATAAAAGTATTCAAGGGAATCAGTTGCCAAAAGACTTCACTACTTGATTCTTTGTATTCTTACTCTAGGAATGCAGTCTTCCGTCAGAACATGACTCGTGTTTCAAACTTAATAAACCTGCTGCACGCTTTTGCGTATACTCTCCAGATTAGGGTACAGCAAAATAAATATTCAAGTACTTTCTTCACTGGTACTCCTACAGCATTTCCTTTGGCCATTATCAACTTGGATCCTACTGTACGACAGCTTATGTCTCAGACACTGCATCAACATCATCAATATATCGACAGTCAAAACACTGCATCCCAACAACCCTTCAGCACAGCAACTTTTTCGATGATGAAAATCCTATAAACGGAAAATTGCGTTTCACTGACTCTTCAGTTTTTAAATATGGAGCTTGTTTCATCTTCCATGTTTCTCATAGACACGTTTATAACCGTACACAACGCTTGCATTTTCGGAATCAATACATTATATTCCATATATTTCTTTTATACACGGTTGCTTTAGTCCTTGCTCTGCTGCTGAAGAGTTTGTGCTAATATTTCTCATGCAATTAAAGTAAAATATTTTTTTAACAGAATTGGGTAACGCATCAGCTTTCTTATTTCACTATGAAACCTTTACACAGTGCTTCATTTTACAAATTAACAACAGGTTTGGGGCATTTAGGCTCGGACTGTAAATAAATTAATTTTGGCCATTACAAATAAGCTGCAATAGAAATGCTGCAGAAGCACGCAAGGCAGATGAGACGGAAACTCATTTAATATATACTCAGCCTTAAACGTAATGTAAACGTTTTAAAACGGTGCACCGTAATTTAACTTTATTTGTACACAAATTCTGAAGTTCTAAGGTGGTTGATAATACCGGTACGGATTAAGAAACATTAGTTGTATAGGTAGAAAAATAAGCGAAAACCACAAAATGTGCCTGCATGAATTCACGCAGTTTTTCTAAGCCAAATAAAACGGTACACACCTCAGACTAAACCAATGTGGTATTTGCGAACGGTTCTCCGCATTTTCTAAAAACGTCCGTCACAGTCAGATTTGTACATTTCGTTTTTATAGACAAATAATCGACCGCTGTCTAGGCCGTATGCTCTGTTTACCAATCGTCTTGCAAGAAATGAAACAAACTATCGCATGGAAGCATACCTACTTGTAGCCCTTAGCCTTTAAAAGCATATACAATATTTTGAAAAATCAAACTCCACACAACGCCACGCAACGATTAAATATGTCGCCAGAGGCCTACCTTCAATAAACAGACTTCGTTTGTGGGCCATGTTTATTCCATGGTGTTGTGGTCGAGTGCAGTCTGCTCCTCGGCTTTTCTCGTCTTGGCGTTTACCACTTGCTTAAGCAGCTTTGCTGATTCTAGTCCCTTCTACCAACCAAGAAGTCAATATTTTCTTTTGGATATATTATACCTTGTTCTCACCTTAACTGCTACTAGATTTTTTTTTTTAAACCAAGAGAACTCACGGGATTTCCCGACGCTTACTCTTACAAATATCGTTTATTTACTTGGTCTGGCTGGTTCTGACTATCTCCTCTGTGCAATTGTGGGGGGTGATAAATAAACCGACTTTGTTGCCTGGTTCTAATCTGTACAGTATCCAAAAAACAAATGAAATCAAATTCAGTGCTACTAAACTTTTCTCAGCGCAGCTTTCGAAAAACTATCACTCCCGTCGACTGCACCACTTTTCCGGGCGTCTCCCACCTCCAGCCAACCCTCCTCAGCAAGGATTAGTGTCTCAAATCAAGCCCCCGGATGCAGTTAGCATAGGCCGCACTTTGTGTTATCGCTGTTGTTACAGCTAATACTAAAGTCCTTTAAAATCTGTAAAATAATTCAGGTTTCTCTATCATTTATAAACTCGGAAATCGTTTGGTAAGCTTTCGGATTCTAAATGCATTGCTTATCAAAGATGCACACTCGAAATTAGACCGTAGTGTTGTTTAGGTATGTAAAATGCAGAATCTCTCAAACAAAATTGGTAATGTTCTCAAATGTAAAATCTGTATGTCCTGTAATTCATCCATTACTATATACAGTAAAACCAGTATAACACAAAACTGTCTCAACCTAAGTCTTTTTTGGGGGGAGGTTGTCTGAAACGTTAGCTTCTTAGGGTAGCCAGCAGGGTTGTTTTTGTCCCGCCCCAAAAAGATTAACTGGAAATCAAACACAGCACCCTCCGACATATCGTAAATTAATAAAATGTCATGAAACATTAACACTCTCACCTATAAGACACTCCAGACCTGTGCTTCTCGGTTTTTTCTTGCTGGGATTAATATCCCCACATTGAAAATTATAAATACACTGAAAATCTGTTTAGATTTGTAAGAAATGGAAAGCAAAATGCGTTTCACAGATCCATCCATTTGTACATCAACAGATCAAAACGGATTACTATGTAAAAATGTCCCCTACTATTTTGGAGAAAACGTTTCTGGACATTACCTGACTTGTCTCTGAGGACACTCGGGTCTCTTGGACTCTAGATGCATAGCAACTTTTAGAATATATGCTACCATCTACATAAATTACTGGTTCTCAGTAATACCTTAATTTACTGTACATTATTTTATCTACAAGATTTTTTTGTACTTACACATAATGTTAATTTTCTATACTGTAAGTCACCCTGAAGAGGGACATCTGCTTGGCACATAATTAGCAACAACAAACTGCTAGACACGCAAAAAAAATAATAATGATGTCACTGAAGATAACAGATTGCTTCTTGGAAATGTGAAGAAACCCAGAGACAATTTATCACCATATCCATAAATCCATTATCAGAAAGCCATTTATTCCTCAAATCAACCCCCCAAATGCAGTTAGCATAGGCCGTACTTTCAGTTATTATTGTCAAGAGTCAGAATAAATCAGGGCCTATCCCACAAGCACAGGGAGCAAGACAGGACTACACCCTGGATAGGTTGCTTGTCCATCTCAGGATACTCACACATGAAGTCTGTTGAAGAGACACTTATTCACTTCAACAGCATGTTTGTGAATGGGAGGAAGAAACTGGAGCATGTGGAGAAAAACCATACAGACATGCAAGTTCCACCCCCCAGTTTGGAATTGAATCCAGAAGGAATCCAGCAGCAGGGATTGCAAAGTCCAAAGCTTTCACACCTGCTTTGATGAGACCTTCTCTGCATCTCATTCTGTGCCATGTAACTGGGACGACAGAGCTTCTAGCCTAAGGCATCTCTCTGGTCAGGCCAATAAGGATTTTTCTTATAAAAGCAATGCAATGCCTGTCACAGTCCATCGGATATTTTATTTTTGGTATTCACTGGAAAAAAAATGTGTTCCAGTATTAATGAAGTCTGTGCCTGGCCTATTGTTTCGCAATTTCTAATGAATTCTGATATTCTGCAGATAATAAAATCATTGAATTCTGGCTCTATCTAGACAGTTTGTGTTACCTAGGATTTCACTAACCTCTTCTAGTAGGCCTTCATCAATAAGATGAATGATTCGTCTGTCAGTTCCTTAAAAACACAAGAGCTGATGTATCCTTAACCTTTACTTATATTATTGGATATTTTGTAAATTTAACAACTTTTGTGGGAAAAGCTAACTTATTGGTTTGCATAATGTTCCACCATTTAAAATATAAATTGAGTGTTTCAAGAATATTAAAGCAAGCCTTTTAAAGTAAAATAGATCATGAATATCATTCCTGAAAATAAGCAAATTGGTATGATTTTGGTAAGGTATTTGAGTATAACTCAATCCAATACTGCCATATCAGCCACTATACCACCACAAAATTGCTTTAATTTTTAAAGAGCTTTATTTCTTTTAAGATTGTGTTTTATCAGTTTTAAAAGATCTTTATAGAATTTGAGTACAACCTTTTTCTAAAAGCTTGTCAAACTTTACCAAATATAAAAACTCCCAGGAAATTACTGTGTATAAAAGAATTTCTAGGGTGATTCTACAAGTCCTTCACCAGAAAATATTCCTCATGTATTTTTTCCCAAATAATGTTAGGAAAATAATGCTGCAAATCTAGAAAAAAAAAACTTTATGCTGTGGAATAAATATTTTGCTTAAACATATCTCACAATCATTATATGGACTTCAACTGGGGACAAAAAATTAGGAAGAAATTCTGAGCTTCAGCTCAAGAAAACATTAAAATTACTCATCAGTTTTACAATCCAACATGCTGAATATGACATTCTGAAAATGAAGAGGAACTATGTTAATAAACTGACTTTCTTTTGCAAAATGAGCAAACATAATTTAATTTTAGATTTAAATACAAAGTCTGATATGAATAAAGAAGCTTCATAGTTCTGGGAAGACTTGCAGAGATTCATAGAATATAATTGAATGCAGGCATTTATTCAATGCAGACATTTCCTCCCACTGACAGTATTATGTATGAGCTGTTGTCACAATATGCATTATAGCTCTTGTGATTCTTCTTGCTAATGGGTCAGAGAATGAATGTTACACTAAATTCTTGCAACCTTTGATTAAAGTATGAATTGTAACTTTTGGATTAAAATATTTTATGCAACACTTAATGTATAAAGATTTTCTGAACTTCAGTAAAAAGCCATCTTTTATATATTTTTATTCTATGTTTGGAGCGCAGAAAATGCCAAGAACCTTTTGGAAAGCAATTGCGCTGGCTGTGGTAAGGATCTTACTCTTCCCCATGATGAAAAATGTTCACGTTTAAGTCAATTTAACATTTAATGGGTAGGTTTAATAATTATTTTTCATCAGTGCTAGATTTAATCTTTATGTTCTCTTATGTAATCTATGTAAACTATTGTATTTTTCTTGTTTCAAGTTTTAATTTGTGCTTTTGTTGTTTGAAATTGTAAGTTCATAATTTTGTTGAAAATGCAACTTAAATTGATTAATTGATTGAAGTCCTTCTGCCCGGCAATTTAGCAGTGATAAGATAATGTCCCTAAATAGTGACATTTAGCCATGTATGGAGACAAATTATTTAACAAGTATACAAGCGTAGAATTTACATGAATGTATTTGAATATAGAGAAGACCCATAATATATTTTTGTAATGGAAGTTTAATTGCGTATTATGTAGTGTCTGTTTGATATGCAAAATATTACCATCTCAGCCTTTATAAGTTACAGTCTATATAGATATTTAGAGTGAAATTACTTTCTAAGTCTTCAGTTTTTAGGTTGTGCAGGGGCTACCTCAAATACAGTGCACACAATTTCAATTACTTTTTGAAAAAAAAAGTGGTTTTAGACATTGCATAGCATGAAATGGTGAGGAATGTTTATAGTGCATAACTTTATTTAGTCATGCACTTTATTTAGTACTTTGTTGAATAGTTCCTCAACTGAGATCAATAAAACCATCTATACCTCCATAAATCAGCCATATCTGTTACAGAACACAGTCCCCATGGGACTAGCATGATGGGATAATAGCAATGAGATGTGATTTCTGAGGAGTTATCAATGCAGGAAGAATTTAAGCAATGCCGTTGAGAAGACTGTAACCATTTTAAGGTGTCAGATTTTGTTTTTCACATTCACTGCCCATGATTTAAAATGATCAACATTAACTTAATCTCACTACCATATACTGTATAATAGTGCTATTTTGTCAATATTGCCAAAGTCTGGATCTCTGGAGAACTGACCTCAGCTTCAGAAATTTCCCTCTACTCTTGCATGCAGAAGTTACGAAGCACCTCAAACCCAATCAGTCTGTCCTCACTGCCCAACAGGGAACCTGAAACCTGTTTTGTTTTGTAGGTGTCTGAAAGTGCCTAGTTTACATTATACATCCTCAATATTTGTCTCATGGAATTGACCTGTGACCTTCAGTTAAAAATTACCTGGCCGCCTAAGAGACTGCTCATAATGAAAACTAGTGCACAGGCTTATTTCCTGATCCCTTTTAATTGGCTTTTTTAAATTAATTTATTCTGAGTTCAACTTTCTTATACAGTAATGGCATCACATAGACAGTATCTTAATTAATTGACAATGCAGGTTAACCCGTGTTGTAACATCCACGAGCAAATCCCATTTTTTCGGATTTAGTTTGGATTTCTTCTACTTTTGACTCAGTTTATTTTTTACTTCCAGCTCACAGGAGTGAACATTTTAATTTTAAAAAGTATTTTATTTACAAGAATGAGACAGCACTGTATCCGCTGAATAAATGTCTTCGCTGCCCACACGAAGTCTTCTTGTCACAGTTGGTACAATGAAAAGGCAAGGAAGTAAAGAAAAGCTCTTCTGAAGACAGACCAAGACAATTTCTATAAAAACATGTATGATGAAGTCATTGTTTCAATGTGAAGATAATTAGTGTCATAGACTACCGTCGTCAATCTAAAAAAAACTGGAAAATGTCTACAATGTTAATCTGTGGCGCTAGTAATGTGTTTTTTTTTAAATTAGTATTAGTCATGGGATGCTGAAAGATTTTTCAAGCGAGTGTTCTATAGACCTGGAAATGTTTTTCACCACTAGGTGGCAGTAACGTTCAGTGTTTAAATCAATTGTACAGCAGTGATTTTGAACACATCACGCACTTTGTTGAACAAATCTTGATCTTGAAATTGATTCCTATGGTGGAGAGATTAGGATACTTGTTTTTCATTCTGTAGTTCCTGAGGACTGGCGTTTCATTTTTGTCCAGCTCTACATTCCGGTGTTTTATTCTTATAATAAAGCTTGGGTATTATTTAAAATGGACAAAATGGGGGTCCCTTGGCGGCAGTTGTCGAGTAGTTTAATCTTCTCAAATTGGGATATGTGGCGAGCTTCATAATGTGGTCCCCTGGTCATTAGGAGTATTGTGTCAGCAGCATTTACTGGTAAACTCATGTTGAGATTTTCATTCAAGTTATGGCTGGTGGTATGACTAGAATACTTTCAAGGAATGTAATGAGATTTACACAAACTGTGTTTTTTTCCCCACAAGTTTGGCTGACTTAAATTTGTGCTTCAGTACCGTAACGAAGAAGTTAATAAGTAATGTGTGGAGTATTCATAAAAACACTTGTTATGGGCTATATTAAGAAAGGCGATTAAGTGTCAACAGAAGCAATTTTGTTTAAATTCCCCAGTGGTGCACTTTTAATTAAGTTAA